ATTCTAACGTTCCTTCATTCCTCAAACGTTTATGCTGACGAGCGATTTGTGGAAATCATCACAGATAGAGTTCAAGACGAAGGTGGGAAATGCGGTCCTCTTTCCTTGAATGCGACATCACATTACACCGCATATCGATTCATGTGTGTGCCTTCGGACGCTTGTATACGACAATGCATCAAAGCTGAGTCCGCGTGCAAGTTTGGAGTCGGTGTGCGTGATTGTTGAAAAAATTGACGGAGCTGCACTCTAACTGAAAAGTTACTATTTCCTATGGCTAGCGATATCTTAGTTTTTCACCATTTTGTTCGGGGATTTTCATCCCAAGTTACTGAAAGTGTGGTGAAAGTACACGAAAAGCTTCCTCAATATTAGGTCGAGTGAACTTTTAGCAGAATGCTGAAATTTGCAAACGAGCTACTGCAGTTCAACGCCAGCTGTCTGAATATTCAAGTGGATTACACGGTAGTCCCTTTGGTTTTGTTATATCTGCTGATTCGTCAATCTGTGGTATCTGCTGCTGACCCGCTCCAGTGCCTAATGCCGGAGAACAAAGACTCACAGAAGGGAATACAATCGCTATATTCCGAACAAGCGAGTGCGAGAGCAAAAGTTACAACGGCCCCACGCTATTTAAAGGGGACATTCTGACATTGATCCAGGCTGTCTGATAGGCGTTAGTGAGCACCCACCAAAATCGATCGCGCCTCTATGAAAAGCCTGAGCGCTGATCACATTCGATCGTGTTTCTGTGGCATGCAAGAACACTCATCAGCTTTTGCTGAATTGTTTAAATAATTTACTGGCCTGGATGCTTGCCGGTCTTCCTGTTGAGTTTTTGGTGGAGCAGTAGGTTCTGGGCATTCTGAGGTTGCTTTCATGAATCTGACCTTCCTGATAGGTTTCAACCGCAGATACGTTTTTTTCAAACAGAAAAGCCTTTTTTCGATGTTTTTTAAATCTTGCGAGCTTTCCAGACGAGACTATCGGCCATGGTTTCTTTTGCGCTGAGAACCCATGGTCATTCACTTCTTTTGGACTCCTTATAGTATCTATAGTATCCATTTCCTCTGCACTTTAGGATGACTCATTTCTTTCCTTTAGTTATATGTAAAGAGACAGACTGTTATTGTGAAGTTCTATGTGTGAATAGTTGAAGCTAGTTTCATCGTTTTGTTGTCTTTTCCAAGTTCCCTGGTGAATAAAATGTTCTGCTAGAGGGCGTTTAAACCAGACAGCAGGTGCTCCCATTGTCTAGAGAAACTAGAACATGTATATAATCTTATTTGCTTAAGTAGCTTTAGAACTCCGCCAAAACAATGTTTTTCTTGCCGCCTTACGAATCGGCCACTTTTGGTAAAATTTGCGCAAAGTCATAGGAGCAGCTTTCGAGTTGTTTCGAGTTGTTAAAACGTGGAGAGTCCCAACGGAGACACAGTTTGGTCCATGAAAACTATCACCAGAATCGTCGGTGAATCGTCGGGGGGAGATCAACCACGTTGTTCATCGGTTTCACATGAATAACATCCAGTCTTTAAAGTCCTGCAGATGTTTGCTTCATTAGGGAAATGGACGATCAGGGGGGAGTGCATCAAGTTAGACGGGTGCGAAAAAGAAGATCTCACCAACACGTTTCACCAGGTCATAAAAATGGCTCGTCTCTCCGAGTTTCTGTTTCAGCAGCTCTGCCGTCTGCTCACAGGAACACGAACATGTCACTCCTGCATAAACTGAGTTATTCTGACCGAAATTTTGCATTGAAGGTCGGTCACAGGTTGTAGCTACCCGGTCACCCACATACTTGACCGTTCAGCTCACAGTCGCTCACTGGATCACCAGACTTGTCTTCTTTATGCTCGCAAACCACGTCACATTAAGGTAACGCATCGGAAACCGATTGTCTGTATCGTCTAGTGAGCATAGTAACTACTCATGTGCTGACGAGCCCACGTATACGCCAACGGACCTGCATATAGGGAAACGGAGCCCATTAGCCGCACAGTACTTTTAACTGCAAAACTTTTACAAGTAGAGTAGACCGGTTTGCGCCAAAATGTTGCGTTTTGTCGCGCATGTGCTCAACATAAAAACCATTTTGATCTACGCTCATATTTTGTCAGCTCATCAACTTTCATTGTCAACTGGAGCAATCATCCCTCTGGTGGAAAAGTCTGTTGGAGTGATTCCCCAGCATCGTTGAGACCCCAGGATACCTAAATGGGGCTCACAATATTGGACCGGTACTCTCAACTCAATTTTCCCCTTACTTTAGTTCATCAGGGACATGTCATAGCCTTTGAAAATTCCATTCCATTGCGCGAATACTGAGCGGCTAGGGAGACCGAAAACAGTCGACACTCAGACTCGAGCGCGCGCAAGGAGCAGGAAGTCAACCACTCTCCACAAGTCCACGGACAACTATAGAACACGTGTGGCAGTCGCACTGAGGAGAAAAACACGTTCTCACCGTCCGAACTTTCACCAAGGTATTCTCACAGACGAAAAGTTCCTCTTTTGATTTGCTCCCATTTTGCATTGTATTTATTTTTATACGTGTTGCAATCCATCACTGTCAACCATACTAAATACTTTCATTAGTGCATACACCTTCTGATCTGTATTATGGCTATCATCACCTGTGCACGAATACCTGCAGGTGTGTGGCCAAGTTATGTGGCATCCTCCCGGTCGCGAAAATTGTCTCCGAACACATCGGTCAAAAACCAATGGAAAAACAACTAACTAACCTATTAGTAACAATTGTCCTGGTTACCGGTCAAATTAAGACTGGTGGGATTTCCGATCGATATTGGCAAAGTTCCCCAATGCACCAATAGCCACCATAACGCAGAGTCGCTGTAGGTGATGGGTACCTCATTTGAGCACCGCTACAACAAGCAAGGAGATTTACCTCTAACCTCGGCGAGTAAAGATAGTTTCCACCAAATTTGATCTACTCGTTAGCTGTGAGACTAGACCAAACAGCCACAAACAGACGTTGATGGATGCACCTGCGAAAACCTCCGGATCTAAGAACCGTCCAAGCAGGTGATATTCTGCAGGCACGTATCCTCAAGGAGGCGTTATATTGGCACAACGGGTTTATGCGATAGAATTTCAGCAGCTCTCAGACGGCTGGCCATGTGTAACGAACTGAAACGATTCCACTCTCGAAATTAAATCAACATTGTGCTCAAGGTTGGTGAGTTCCAACATGTTTCTGGCAAAAATACGATACATTCCCGCTCAAACTGATGAGGTCGCTCGCTACGTCTTATGCGGAACTGAGCCAACATTTGATCGTGCGACGTGTTTGTTGTTTTCATTCAACATCTACATCTCCACTGTCATTCTGGACGGTTTGTTACTTTGAGCAAGAGTCCTTCTTGTAACATCCAAAACCTGGTTCATCGCCAGGTTCAAATAATCATTCCAGCCCTCACGACTGACTAACGCCAAGCTTCGTTTGTTAGCAAGGCAGCAAAATGATACATTATTGAATGGAAACGGTACAAGCGTAGTTAGGATGCCTAGAAACCCTGAGTAGTACAGAGCTGATTTCTTGGAATACCGGTTATGACTGCCTCACTCCATTCTTCGTTTACGGCTCTCTAGTTGTCTTTCATGATCAGTCGTTCTGTAAGAACTATGCAGCCACTATATACGCATTCGTCGTGACATTTTCAAACCGACATCGTTTTTTAAAGTTAGTTCCTTTTAAAAGCGATACCCTCTTACGAGAGGGGATTTCATTTGGTCTTATTTTTACTATATCTACCAGAGAAAATACAATAAACGAGTGGACTGTCATGCCAGTAGTGCCTCTCACGGATTTTTCTCGTGATCTAACATGTACCAGAAGGAGCAAGCTTCTCTAAGTGGATCATAAACGCCACATTACCAAATCAACCGAATAGGCCAATAGACAACACATTCGGGGGTCTTTGACAAGTCGCACACAGCGGCAAACACCAAGTGGCGTGACGTCCCTAGCTTATTCATTTTCGCTGTCCAACGAATAATATTCAGTACTTTCCATTCAGAACTGTGGTGCCTCGCTCATACTACCTGCATTTCAGCGAGAAACACATTACAAATATAGTGAGTTTTGATAGCACGTTATTCTTAAGTTATCACCCAGTAAACAACTGCGCTTGAAAAAAACATGTTCCCTCTGCCTGAGTCCTGTTCACTCACACGACTTACTGTTGTTTGGTACTAAGCAACAACAAACAAATGATACCATGTGTATGCTGTTAGACGATAACAGCATGAGAGATTGCGTGCACCTGGTCCGTGTACAACGACTGGGTGGTTGTGAACGACTCTCAGAGATGTTCGGCTATTGGTCTCTCTGCTGCGATCATCTTCACAATGCGACCGAAATCACTTTCGTTTTTCGGAATCTCGCAAGAAGTACCAGATCCAGAAGGCAACAGTTGTTGGTATTACAAGTTCAGAAGAAAAAACGAAACGGACTTGGCTACGTCAGCAGCGATCACGCGTTTATCTACGTCCCAACCCCATCAGCCTTCGTTCTATCACGTTCTGTCGCACTTGTGAAATAGTTGAAGGTACATCGAGAAAGTTCAGAATAATTCCTAAAACATTGGCAAGTGTTTTGAACTCACTCGTGCTCATCAGAACTGAATTTCACTAGGATAGAAGGTTGCCCCGGACAGAACAAGTTTGATTGGTCTCGTGGGACTTCACTCAAAAGGAAGTGGCTTGATCCACTTCACAAGTGTTCGCACTTCACTAGACAAGCTTCAACTCGTATGGTACCAATCGGTGCTACAATGCGGCAGGTGAAACAAATGGTTTGAAAGCGCTTGATTGCAAGCTGTTTCCGAGTAAAACCAAGTATATACAATCTGGTGAAAGCTCTATGCACTCTTTTTCGACACCTCCGACTTGTTGTTTTTTTAGAAAATGATGAAAGTGTTCAGTTGTAGGTGGTAAAGAGATCTGTAGACCGCCACGAAGAGACTGCACCTTACCGTGGTGTGGCGATGTGTATATCTCGGCGACCCACTGAGTTATGTTGGGAGGAAGTGTCCGCACGACACTCACAGAGTCTAGGTTGGTCAGTGGGTGGAGGTCCGACAAACACAGTCTCCTGGTCCTCCAGGTTGGGGGCTAGAACATGTGTGGCGATTTGCTCTATAAAAATGGTAATGCATTTCCCTCCAAAAACCGCTTTATGACGGCTTTTGGGCTTTGGCTTCTGAGCCAGTGCCTGTCTAGCCTACTTGGGTCCATCTGGGAGAAAGAGACTGTCCGAGACAACTGTGGTAGATCGACAGTAGCGTCCGTTTTCAAGAAGGGTATTTGCAATGAATGTTGTAACCTCTCCCTTTGTGACAGAGCTTCTGGCGGCCCGCGAAACCTTGACTTGCGAGTATTAAGCAAGAATTCGGCGGGCTAGAGGGTGCGTTGGCCACATCTTCACACTCCATCTGGTGTTAGAGCAACGCCATATGTACAGACGACCCATAATCTTGGTATTCCTTAACTTCAAGGATGCGTTTACTTTTGTCGATCGGTCACTGCTCAACAGGGTGCCTCAGAAGTTTGTGAACATAATCCGTTCCCTTCTTCTGGACATATGTGCTTGGCTGGAAACGTCGCAAGAAATGGCGGCTAATGGATGTCAGTGGCGTTTGTGCTACCGTTTCTTCCCAGACTGTTTTATTGAACGGTTGGAGGTGTATGCACCACAGAATGCTTGACATAGGGCAGCAATAGGTCCACTCCCTCACGCACTCTTTTTCTCTTCTTTTTACTCTAGGGCTCTAAAGATAATTAGATGAATCTAACGGTTGCACGGCATAGAAGCATGGGTGCCAACAGTGATGTTGTTGGGTTTGATGATGATGATGATGATGATGATGATGTGTGTGTGTGTGTGTGTGTGGAATTAGCGCCTGCAATACTCTCTTCTGAACAGTCGTCCTCCTGCCCTGGTGCGATCATTCTGGTGAGTCCATACCAAAGTGGAGACGCGCGCCAACCAATCATATCACCCAAGCGTGAACATGTTTACCTATTCAGGCCTGAAAATTTAGGTGTGTCCAGCCTGCTCTGGCAAAGTCGTAGTACCACGCTCACCTCGCATGCCAGATGTGTGGAGTTCAAACCGGGGCACGGCCAAAAATATGCACTGCTGATGAGTTCAAATCAGAGCGAAACTCGAGTACAATGCTTCTCCCTTTGGTGTGGACTCATCAGGATGATTGCGCCAGGACAGGAGGTCTGTTCAAACGAAAGTGACGTCAGTGCCCTCAAAGCTTTGTCGATCAAACACCCCCGTTCAACAAAGCATGGCAAAGATTTACATTTTGAGCGTAGAGACGCGGGAGATTTTGTGTAGATCTTGGTCCATAAAGTGGGAGCAAAACGGCGACCTAGTGTTTTGATATGTATGGCACCGACAACACACTGATGTCTCGCCAAATGATGACGAGTTGCTAGAAACATAACCGCAAAGTGCAACGAAAAACATAACACACTTTCAGTAACAGACAGATTATTCCAAAATCCAGGGCTTACGAACCACAAGTATTATCTCTATTCGTACGACGCCACCAATGGGGTTTTTGAAGGAAAAACGTGGCCCACAACTTGAAGGTGCTCTGTTGAACCGCAATGCCATCTGGTGGAATCCAATGATGTGTGCCTCTTGGAACAATAACCTTTCTGGGCAGCAATGCTTTCATTGCTTATTGCTTTCGCAGTTAGGGGACTAGATATTAATCACCAAATAGGAGGAGGCTCAATTCAGGTCAACAGACTGGAAGTACGGTACCACTTTATTCTATCTCGGTTCGAAATACTTTCATTGCTTTCGAGTTAGGGAACTAGATATTAATCACCGAATAGGAGGAGGCTCAATTCAGGTTAACAGACTGGAAGTACGGTACTGCTTTATTCTATCTCGGTTCGAAATACTTTCAACTCTATGCGCTTTTCTTTGCGTGTTTCATTCATACATTGTGAGCGCTAGACCTGTGAATTCGAGATGCGCTCATGCTCTCACCAAAAGGCCTCCTCAGGTGACGGAATGAGAGGTTTGGTACTACAGAATGTTCAGCGGGAATACGACGGGTACATGCAGACATTGAAGTGCTTTGAAGGAGGCTCATCACCATGATTAGACAGGAGGGGAAGATGGAATATACTACTCATAAGGTTGCTGAAAATTCTTCGACAGCACACGACGGGTTTTGCCATTTTGTGGGCTTATCCGGTAGACTCAGTCCCCGAGTTTCCACTGTCAACCTTTTGTTCTAGTTAAACCCAAATTGCACGATATCCCACTTATACACTCATTTGCATGCCAATTTGGTTCCAACGAAGAACTCTGGCAAATCTCTCGTTTATGATGTACTTCTTCCGTCAAAATCAAATTGGTATGCAGATGAGTGTACGGGTCGAAAAAGGGTGAAATATCTGAGGACAACACGATGTTTCACGCCTCTTAGATCATTCAGGTTTGGCTTTTGTGCTGCCATTTGAAGACGCCGTACTGTCGTTCACCTTGCAGAAATGACCTTCACCAGACGGGGGACAGAGTGTACACGGATGCCATATACTTGGTAGCTTCCCCAGGATATGGATGAATTCACATCAGTCAAAATACTATACATACGTTGGTGAAAAGTGGAGTAGACTAAGGCGCGAAGTCCGGGGCCAATCAGCGAAAACTCTCGGTTGGACGATATGATCAGATGGCTCCACAATTTCGTCCTGACAATTTTTTAATCCTCGATGCCTTTATGTACATTCAAAAACCAAAGTGATATTCTTGTATGTTCCGCTATTGATTTCCCAGGGGACCTGTCAGATGCCCACCAAAAATCATTCGGTCCAATCTACCGGGTTGTGATTCTGGTTGACGATGCCATCGTCCGGATATCAGCACAGAACGACTTGGGACGGGCTCAGCAGACGGAGCACGAGACACGCATCAGTAAGTAGGTCGGCTGCGCACAGTCACACACACACACATCCTAGTATACCAGTGTCGGACCGAGCGGTCTTTGTAGCAAAATGAATGGCGGTTACGGGTGAGTGAAATGAAAGTGCACGGGCAGAGTAAGCAAATGAGTGGGAGAGTTGCCATGATGTCAAGTTGAACTCAATTCAGAATAAGCTTCAATATTTTGTTATATACTACTCATAAGGTTGCTGGCTGTCCATCCACAGCCCACGATCTGTTTCGCCCTTCTTCGGGCTCATCAGGTAGGCGCAGTCCCCGGGGTTCAATGAAAGTGCACGGGCAGAGTAAGCAAATGAGTGGGAGAGTTGCCATGATGTCAAGTTGAACTCAATTCAGAATAAGCTTCAATATTTTGTTATATACTACTCATAAGGTTGCTGAAAATCCGTCGACAGCCCAGGACCGGCTCCGCCCTTCCTGTTCGGGCTCATCAGGTAGGCGCAATCCTCGAGTTTCCGTCAACCTTATGTCCTACTTGAAACCAGCGAAATACACCCATTTCAAACTAATTTGGTTTCGCGGGGGAATCACCTGGAACCCAGCTGAATCTCTCGTTTGTTATGTATCCAGGCAACTGAGTGTGCTGCACCAGGACGCCTTATGTTTCAGTCGCTACGATATTCGAGATATCGGGATACATGCATATATTTGTGATGTACTACTGGATACATCACAAACGAGAGGTTCAGCTGGGTTCCAGGTGAGTCTATCGAAAAACCAAATTAGTTTGTGAATGAGTATATATTCGTTAAGCTTCAATATTATTTAACCAACTGCTGTGAAGCTCCAAAGATACATGTATCAAGTGCTGAAAATTTGGTTCAGCAGGATAATCTCTGTGACTGAGGCGTGCCGACCAAGGAAGACGCCATACAGTGTACAAAATGATGCCAGATGCTCCCTCTGTTTTCTGTAAAACTCTAGGGTATCGTGAATTCCAAAATGAATAAATTTGCTATGACGATTTACAGATGCCGTTCTGTGTTTAGGCCTTTTTCGAAAGGTTCAACGTCATTGTGTATCCATTCTGAACGATCGATGAAATCAATGGCGAAGTGGACAATGCAACATATCTGTTAGTCACAGTTTAGAAACTGCCCTGGTATATTTTTGTAAACGTCCCCACATCTTCTACTTCATTTCAGTAATTTCGAAAGAAGACATATGTAATTTCACGCGATGTACACAGTCCTATTTATCGAGACAAACTCGAATGGATGGCGGAATTTAGACGATGTTGCTCCGATTCGTGTCGAGACAGTGAGCAGTAATACATGGGTCCATTAGGGTCATTTAGATATGACCTTTCCATCACCATATTTGGCATCATTTCATCCAATCGACATGTTTCATAAGTCAGACCAAATGGCCGAAGGCTGACGAGTTCGAAAATCCCTGGAGGTTCATGAGACGCTCACTGCCGATGATTCCCAACGGAGATGAAACAACCGCACAGTGCTTCTCAGCTTTCAGAGCAGGAAGCGTTCTCAATTGAATCTCACAAATATCCTTATGCTACCAAAGTAATTAAAGGGTGATCAGAGGAGGACTAATTCACACGAAAAGTGGGGCTGAAAAGTTAACAGTCGAGGGACCAATCAACAGACGACCACGTGATATGAATCCTATGATTGGAGGACAGATGATTTCATATCCTGCCTATGAATGAGTCAATCACACTGCTGATCAGTCGGCTCACTGCAGAACGGCTCGCTAATCAACTGCTAGCCAGGGATCGCGAGTTCAAACCTCAGGAGATTGGGGTGAGGTGTGCACTATTAATGATTCCCAATAAAGATGAAACAGCAGTGCAGTGTTTCTCGGTTTTTCGGCATAGGCTGACGGGATTTCGATCAAAATTTCGAATCGAATGCTATCGGCAATTCTTGATTAATAACATTTGTGGCCACGTAAGTGCTCATTCCTATGTCCTTGTCCGAACTCAACGTGATAATCGGTTGACCATCGCTTAGTTCCACCCACTCAGTGACCGATGGTTTCCTCTTTGACACGCGGACAGAATAAGCACAAAAATCACGTTTGATACTGATGGGCTAAACACAGCCACACATCAGTTCACACAAAGTTTTCGGTCGTAAGGCATGTGACTCACTTACGCCCAATAGAGAATGCTGCGAGTATTGATCAGATGGTTGTTTTGGGTATCGTCGCCATCATACCAATACTGAAAAAGAACACGATTAGCTGGGTCCATATTCGCAGATTGTCTGGATGTCTCCTGGATGTAGGGTGCCTCCAGAGACCGGAGTAATGGAAATGACCTATCATGTGTTGGACATTCCATCTGTCAGGACGCGCCCAGACATGGAAAAAGTGCACGTACAGAGAGTGACGCATCCCCAAGGTCACCATCGGTACGGCACGTCCAGAAAGCAGGTGCGTTGGCGGAGCTCAACAAACACGGCTTAGCAACATACGATCAGCGTAGTGGGCCTGAGAGTGTTCACGACCGGAACACCGCCATTGGCTGTACAGAACGAACAAGTGAACGACCATATTTGGCCATTTAGTCATCCTATATAGTTACGAAGACGCTCTGTATGTTTTGTCCTGACAATACAGCCATGTCCAGAGTTCTCTCTCTTCTGATCGCGTAGCCTGTCAGGTTCAGTGCAGGCGTAACCAATAGACGGCCACCCACGATACATCACTATCGTTACAGCATATTTCATCGCAATGGGCTCACAACCCATATGCTGTTTGGCTTGAGTTCTTGTATGCCTGTGATAGACTTCTTCAAACGAAATCAAATTAGGATTCGAACTCATGTTTTCGCTTTTTGAGACTATCCGTGTCCAACTCTTGATACAACACCGTCTCTTCAAGATAGAGGAGGATATATTGTCCCAGCGTGAAAACAGCAGAATATTGATGAGTCAGGCTAGTTCCAACTCCTTTGGAACAAGGCTTTCCAACTACATCGGTTTATTGAGTGATCGGCAGGATTAGTTTTTAAGCGAACAAAAAATGGGAACAACCAATCAGATGAAGCTGGAACAGCTAATGAAAATTGAGATAAAAATCACAAGCTACTTTCTTGAATCATAAGTATACCAGGTTGATTTCCTATTGTCCGAGAATTGAATTCCAACCCGAATACAGTAGCAGCCTAAATGATTTCCTAAAACAATGTTATATTCAACTCAGCGTCGATTCGATCGTTCGGCGGTCTTCAGAGTAGGGACCTCTTCGTTCAGAATATCTCATTTTGTTCAGGTCCTTCGTATGGTAATTTCCGGGAAGATAACTTCATGTCTTGGATTTTTAGTGTTTTCGAAAGCTCGGAAGTGAGGTGAAATTCACTTAGAAATCAGTTAGAATCTACGGGGCGAAATCATTCTTCTAAAGTGTGGACGAGCAATTCAAAAAGTGGCACGGTTGCGTAATGAGGATGCCAGTAATTGTGATAAGTTCACTGAAAGCATTTAAAAAAAAACACCTGGACGCAAAGTAGAGTGAGAAAGAGAGCTAGTCCCTCTACACCCACGCAATATGTCTCAACGAAGACGAAAACTTCCCTGTGGCTGACGCCTCTGGCATCCTACTACAGCTAGACATAAGGATGGCTTACGTATCGGGAGTTGCGGACGAGTATCGCAGTTCGCATAACCCATGTGCCTTCTTGGCCTCAAGATGACCTTTCCCTCCTCTTCTATCCACAATCTGTCAAAAGCCTGACTCGCACAAATGTCAGAATTAGGCCAGTGACTTCGCATTCCACTTTCAGTTGGGATGAAATTTTCCGTGTTGTCAATCAAAATTCACATCACCGAGGGAACCGGATAGGACTGACTAAAATACAATAAAACTAGGTGCGATTGATACGAAATGGTGGCCAGAACCACTGTGCAGGCTGTTGATGGTTCCCATCTGCCGATGAAGCTCGTTCCCGTAGGATCCTAGTTGCGCCGGTTAAGTTGTTTGCTACTTTCTAGACCCATAAGTTGATGAAAACATCAAGGCATGATAATCGCCATTGTTTTTATTGACAAGCTAGTGAGATAGTGATCTCAGGAAAAACTACCCGATTGCTATGAAAACAGTGTAAGGGAGACAAACTTAATTCAGTTACACAGAACTTACAAAGACCACTTGTGCGTAGGTCTCCTTTCAAGAAAATATAGTAAGATGAAACCAATATATCTTCTGGACTTTTGAGGTGTGCTCTGGACGAATGACCTACGATCCTCGCACGGTTTAATAAATTCCCTACTACTAATAAGTAGTCAACAATAAAAGATATTTAGCACACCAAGGCTTCAACCACGGTGCTGAAGGGACACATCCAGATCTTCTTGATTGTGATGCTTTACTCCAGTGAAGCCTGTTGCTGATGTGATTTTTCTTATTTCGGTTGTCTCTTAGGTCGTTTCATTCATATCCACTAAAATAATAAATATATTTATTGGGCCTGTGTATCTACAAGCGTAGCAACGTGTACATGTCATTGAACTATTGCTTTACGCTGACCAACCAGACTCAAATAGGGACTACTAAAGATATAAGAACAGTACTATGCGCCGGCGTTGGCAAGCTGACAAACGCCGCTTCATTGTACGATTGAACATTTATTTTGTACTGTCGTCAGATTCAAGGAATTCTTAACAAACGGATATTTTGGTGACAGAAGGTTGAAAGAAATTTTCACGCAGCTTGTTCCGGTGTCAGCTGAAGGACAGGAGTAAGAAAAACTGATCGTGGCCTGTAGATTTTTCAGCAACCTTATGTTCCCTCCGATTGAACTACTTATGTGGTGAGTTTGTTTGGAACGCAACTGCTTCAGTTTCTGGAGCGAAATCAAGTTGGCTAAAAATGAAAACCTCAACATAGCGGCTGAGATAATCACCTACATACTCGCTTTCTTACCTGGATTCCACTGAAAAATCCGATAGAAGTACAAGCGGCTCACATCGATGTTTTGTTCAAGCAAGACTAACCAAAAAAGCGGTGCCTAAGTTTTCCAGCACTCCTCCTAAAATATAAATTTTAGACCTACAAAACGAGCTGTTGAATCTAGCTTGACCTTATGGTAGTTCTCCCATTCATTCTTTCGATCTCGTCGTTTTGCTTAACCGTACCCCCCACTCACCTTGCCGCAGGTTCCCTCCTGTCTGACACTTCCGTGTGAATGTACGCAACTGATTCCATTGTCTAATGGGACCGTTCCCGTCTTCCGAGGGTAACTGTTTACTGGACCGCCTGAATGAGTCGTTTTCATCTAAGTTTAGTCGAACAGTACGGACTACATTCATCGATGCCTTTTATATCGGGTAGCTGAGTTGTTTGCCCAACATTCATAGAACCGACTAGCTATTTACATCGATTAGGCTTCATGGAGCTCAGATTTTACAACTACACTGTCTGCTACCTGAACGTGACCTCAGAAAAATATGACGTCTTCAATTTTCTGTCTGTCGATCTTCTGCTAGCAACACTAACTGGGTCTCTGTGCTTCAGACTAGATAGTTTGAATTCCACCAAGTTACCATTGTCGTTTTGCTGACTTTTTGATACTTTCTGTAGTGCACAACAGTTGAAGGGCATTTCGAAGAGCAAGTGACGACGCTGTTGCAAAAACTTTGTGCTTACGACAAAATCAGTGACCTGAACACTGTACATCTGCACTGTCCATTTTGTGGCTGCCACCCGCGTTAGCCTCAAGTTACTCGAGACCAGGAATCTCACAGATTACACACACATATGTACACAATCTGAGTGGTTATCCGTGAAGAAAATACTCCGTGACATCTCGAATATCGTATCAAATGAAGCAAGAGGCGGCCTTTTTGCAGTTGAAGAAGACCATAACCGAGAGATCTAGCTAGGATTCAGATGAGTCTCCTGTCGAAACCAAATCGATGCGCAAATGAATTTATTTGCAACCTAGTTGTGTGGTAATCTAGGATTGACTTCGCACATTACACTAAGGATGACGCCAGTCACTACTCAGAGCCATGTGCCCAAAAGGTGCGCTAAGACGAACCACGTTAATCCTTTCACCAGCGAACAGTGGGTATGTTCGAGTGAGTGTTCGGCCGCTGGTTTCGACGGGGCCTGTCATACATACATGTAGTTACTGCTCCTTGTACACCAGTAGGTATCCGCCGACCCAGCCTTGTAGTGCTTGGCTGGTAACCCTAACCTTGACCTTTAACATATGATCAACGGGTAAGTCTTTGGTGCAATTGAATGCGTTCTGCTGAAACCCTTGGAAACGGTATCCATGTAATAACTCAATTCCTTCGTAACCTAACAGCAACTCTCAATTGAACCTGAAGCCACAGAAAGTGTTGCCACGACATTCTGCAACCTCTATTGGTAGTGTCATCTCTGCGCGGTGCGGAATTCACCTTGGCGAATTCAGCTACTAAACCATACTGTAGCCAGTGTTCAAAAAACGCGAAAAACAATAAGCGGTTTCTTCATTTGACTGGGACGCCGTAGGCACATATTACACTTCAACCATGAATTTCATTCAATGGTTGGGAACCGCCCGAAAATAACGCAACAGATCAGCGTTTCGAGAAAGAGTAAGCATAGAAGGTATGATTAGGACCATCTAATTTCTTCAAAATTTCGTGAGATTGAGAGCACTAGATGATTTCTAGTTTTTGTTTACATCAGTTGAGCGATCAGATTCAATTTATTCCCGTCGCGTTCGTACTAGAAACAGGTGGCGAATACAGCAGGACAGTCTGCTCAAACCCTTCAATCAACTACATCACAGAGAAGTCAACGGCCTGGACATCCCGTATGTTGCGTCATCCCACGGCAAAATATGTACACATTCTCGTCCACTGAACACTGAGCACAACATCGATTCCACTTTTGAGACAAGAGGATTCAAGCTGTGCACCGTGATTACTTAGGATATCAAAGAGATTTGGTATGACTCGATTAGGAGAACAAAATCGTTAGTACATATTGAAAGTACTGGAACTGTGACGTGCGAAAAAGTAGTGGTTAGACAGTAGAGTCCATTGCAACTGCAGGATGAAGATGAGTGTAGGATCCTTGATGTGAAATCGGTGGATACTGTCGATTCAGTGAACTACTTGAACCAGGGTCTCGCCGGATGTTTTGCTGATATGTCGCCGATGATCCTGCACCGGTACCTCCGGATTCAGCTGCTCTTGCATTTGCTGCTAAAATCGCAGCTTGCTGAGCCTCAAGCGATTGGCGCAGTTTTGCCGAAACCGTTGCAGCAGACGTTCCCTGAGCCGCGGTACCCACAGCTCCAGGAGCAACTGTTCCCCGGCTAAGTGCGCTCGCAGTTCCTGGCACGATCATTGTGCTGCCTGGTCCAAACTGGGAGCCGGTTGGTGGCATGGTGAACAGGGAGGGGACGCCTCCTCCCAACTTAGAATCAGTGGCTGCAGCCACATCGAACCCAGAAACTGACCTCGGGTAGCCATGCTTGGCGTTGACATCTAGGAGTTTCTGTCTGACGGAGGGATCCTCCATTTTGATACGACTTTCCACGGACAGAAAGTGAGTGAGTAAACCAAAGAGGCAAAAGACCGTAGCGAATCCGGACAACACTGCAAACGCGAAACCCCATGAAACTTCATTGTAGTCTGAGCGTGGCATCCACTCTCGATCCTTACTCATCACGCCCACGGCAGTAATGATGACTATAGTACAGCATACTGTCGGAAAAAATGGACAGTCAACAAACATATGAATATTTTGGATGAAATATGTGAAGTATAAATGAGAAAACAAGCCACGAACGCCTTTGAAGAAAAAAATACCCAATCTCTATCTTCCTTCGGTCAAAATTAGTATCAATCTCGCCCAAAGGCACCCAAAACGATCCTTTTCGTGAAGAAGCAAGGCTGGGGCTTTATAAAGCACGAGAACATTGTTTATTCCGATTCATGAAAACAAAGGTTGCTACTTTCGCGCAAACTTACATACAAGCTCAAGGGAAAAATACATCTACCCCAAACAGTCATCCTGCTCAAACTTTGAACAGACGAAAAACTCGTTCAGTTGTAGCGCTTTTTCGGTGCCTAGCTGCCATGCCATCCAAAGGAAGCACGAGGGCTGGGATACTGCCAGGTTGCCCAAGTCTAAACAGGGGAAGTCGAGAGGCAGAGGTCCGCTTTCGAACCACGGACATTCCGATCAGTAAATTCGCGCTGTAACCATTTGGTCCATCTCACCCCCAACAGAAAAGAAGCCGAGAAGCTAATACAAGTCAACCAAAGGACCATAATGATTTTTCCCATGAAGCTTGGCTACCGGTAAAACGGATACGACGAATTTTTGTGAATGAACCAAATATAACCAACTAGAAATCCATCAGCCATCTTATCAATCAAATATATCCAAAATGCTCCCATACAGTAACCTATCATCCATTTTGCATTTATCATAGCTGTATGTCCTGACAAAGTTCTCTAAACTGGGTAAATTGAAAAGTCATTTATTGGAAACACAATTAATTCGCTCATGAGCTGTGACCCGAGAGTGAAGTTTAATGTGACCCAGTTGAGAAGAACGTCAACTTTCAAGGTCAAGCAGCAGTCCGATTGATGTGGTGAGCTTCATGGTGTCCAGAGACTTCGGGTGGCAAAATACATCATTCTGGCTGTCGCATAACAATTTACAATCAATTAAATGGTTCTTTAGGACAAAAAGCATTTTGAATGACGTCTATCCGGCCATTCTGACATGGCGTGCACCCGACTTTCAGATCGTTCACATACACAGATTTTGTACCATTGAAATGGATAAACAAGCAGCGCCAGAATGATAATGACAGTGGACCCTGAACCGATAGCTGTAACATTAGGATTTATCATCCGCTTGGTCATAAATCTAATCAAGTGAATTTCTTGCGACTTCGTATGTGAAAAATACCATCAGCAACTTTAAATGAGGGACGGAACAGAAACTTTGACCAGGTCAACGAAGAAGTCGTTCGACAAGGTCTTCCATTCCTGTTGGCAAACAGAAGATCGGTGATGCTAGCCCACTATAAAAGCCGTGATGCCTTTCATGCGGCAAATTGCAGTCACAATTTTGTCATTAGTCGGTGCTTCGACTCCCATCAGCTTCTCGCGTTGTCAGTGATAGCTGGTCCCATTCACCGGGTTTTCACACACAAATACTCTGAACTGGTTGGTTTACGTTGTCACTTTCTTTTTCCCTAATAGATGGGCACAATCCAAGTGGGTTCCTCATAAATCCATTGAGCGATACTCATCACCCCCTATAGTGAGCATCTATCGTGAACTTGAGGTAAATGGTTGGTTTGCAATCCATGGGGGAAACTGCGAACACTTCAATCATTTTGTTGGATAGGAAATTGTCCCTACCTTGGTCTTCTGTCAAAAGGAATAAAGGGGCCTTTTGAAAGACAGGAGTAACGAACAGTTCCATCTCACACTTGTTCGCGGTGAAATTCTAATGAAGTGCATAAATTATGCATGATGATTCCGATGTCTCGTAAACTTCAAGTGTTTCGCACGTGCCGCAGGTTTTTCCCTTGCTTCTTGTAAGCTCAGCTAGTTGAATGGGCCGAGGAACGTGTTGTTCTTTCCTAATAAGCGTAACAAATCGTTCAGCTAATCCTGGAAATCTAAAAAAACTTATCCAGAGAGATCAAAATATGACATAAGCTGAATTCGTTCAAGATATCAAAACTTTCTGATAAACTAATCATGATTTATACAGGTCTTATTCGAACCACCTGCAAATAATTTTAGCAGCTACCGAAGCTACTGGTCGTAATTTCCGAACTCATCACGTGTTTGTCACTTTTCCTATTTGTAGTTAGTAGGTTTATTTCCATATCAAGCACGCTAGAGATCTTTTTTGTCATTTTGTGATATGCCTTTAAATAGACTGTATAGTAGCAGATATGTTTGTATGCTTCTTCTGATGGGGCCCTTATTGAAATCCTCATTATTGAAGCCATTATTCGACACTTTATGTCACATTCGACTTGACCGTTAGTCATTCATTCGTTCTAAACGAAATAGTCCAGCTAATGTCAGGATGCGTCACAAAACCAGACAACTTCCGGATCACCAGTGCCGTCCACTTAACAATGTACAGACAATGTACAGTGTTTACTAGGACCAATGGAAGTGGCGGTATGTTGTCACAACTCCTGATTGTTTATCCTAATCTTTATCCTTTCGAGAGAGGCAACAACTCTGAAGGTTAAGCCAAAGTCACCTCATGGTCAGGGGGTAAAAAGAAATGCCAAGTAACTTCCAGTTCCTGGAGCAAGTCAATTATTCATATTGCCTGCTCAATCAGTTCCACTGCTTCAATACCCGGCGGGCAAGGTAAATTTTTCACTGGTAGACGAGATCTTTTTTTCAAAATGAAGAAATACCCCTCGGTCTCGTGTCACGGTTCCTCTCTGGTACAATTTCTCACTCATGTCGGATATGAGATTTATTTTTCAGAATGTCGCAATGAAGTGGAGCCGGAGGCATCGGTGTTGCAATAAAAATAAGTTGAGCTTATCTCGGCTGAATCACAGAGTGCGTATTTCTTCTTCATAGGACCCAAAGAATCGTTCAGGATGATAAATCAAGCTTTTCACGTTTAATGTTCATGTTAGTGTAATAGTCTTACATCTGGTGTTTTCGGTGCCCAACGTCACCATCTGAGTTGATTAGCAAGGTAATGTATCACCTGAATGTGTCCAGGATTGGCGTGAATACAGCCACTGCTGGGACGGAGTTAACGTGTGTAGAGATGTTACAGAAACGGCAAGCTCGCAGACTGTAAACTCAATGACAGCAGTCCAAGTAATTTCTTTGGCCTGCTTCTTATCCGGCCTTGTGAGTCTATATAGACGGTGCATATTGTTGTTTGAGAGGCCGAGCCGGTAGGAGTCGTGGTTACAACGAGAAATTTTACCAGGCTGTGTCTAGTGGCATTCGGTCAGAAGGTTCAGGCTCTTACTAGCAGGGTAGGTAAGTTAGCTTTTGGTTTGGGCAAAGAAAACGTAGAAGTTTTATCCTGTCGCAAGGGTCTGGTTGAAGACGAAGATTAGAATGCCACTGCGACCTAAAGGTGTTCGCCAGCTTACAACACAATAACCAACTCCTCATGTGTCGGAACGAGGCAGATTAGTCGTGGCCTGCCGGACCCTCTATATTGGGCTGACTGTTTAAGGTTTGTAACTTGCACGCAATTGATTAAATTAAGAAGTGTTCTTGAAGGGAAGTGCCACTAGAGAGGCAGTCCATGTTGGACAGAACGGCTAAGTCTACCATAATAAGACTGTGGAAGTAAAAGAGACGGACTACATCACGAGCGGTACACAGTGAGTCTTCTCCTGAGAAGTATGATTATTGGAAGGGCGGTAAATAAAAGTTACTAAGAAGTTGTTTTGTCACGAGATGTATGCTGCAGAATAACAGTTCTCCAGCGAGCACGGTCTGGAAGTCAGTGAAACAGTGTGGCAAGGTACCTCCATGTTACAGGGATAGATCTTTGCCTCTTGAGTGTCGATCATTTCCTGATGATGAACAAACTGGAAGTGACATCTCGGTGTCGTGGATATCCTTTTTGAGTCAAATTGCCGTGATCGCAATGTGATCTTATTGCACTTGCTGTTGGCGACACAGAAGTTCAGCACGCTTGCTACGCTCGGGTGACAGCAACTGATGGGTCTAGATGTAAAGAAGCCCAGTGTGATAGGGTGCTTTACAAATGGTGATTGAGAAAATCCAGCTGACATTAAGTCGGGTGCTGAAAGATTTGCGACTTTCTGTAGGGCTCTGTGCCTGGGGTAATTTATTGTTGTGGCCGAGATGAGAAGAACTGGTTTTCAGGTGACGCAAATCGATGGTTGCTATTTCAGGTGTCGAGAATTTGGACAAGAGACTAGTGTGTCTCACACTCTCTTCTGCAGTTAGCGGACGTTGGCAGAGGGAAAATCGTGTATTCTGAGTGACGTTTTCATGCACATCCGCGTAAGTAGTTGACTGTATTTTGGGGTCTACAGCTTCGGAACTCCGTGGATGCAGAAGACGTTTTGTTTCTATCAGCTATGATCAAGATATGACATACGTGTGACTCTTTCGTTCGAGGGCATGTGGGGTTAAACCTTTAAAGGCATCTGTCCACGGAATAGATTAGCCGGCAAAAGAAGCGTTTCATCATTTTGAACGGACTTCTGTTGCACGAAGTGGCTTCATCTCCCAGACATGATTGATTTTTGAGCTTCTTGCAAGCCTAATCAATGCAATCCTTAATTTTCGCACGGATTAGCTCAGTGAGCCCTCTCTACGTCTTTGTCGATGGTGACTGAAAGTGAAGACAGTTCTGGTACGTTCAAGCACACAAGAGAATCGGGATGCTATGCGATCTTTTCTCTGGTACATTGATATGAGTGCCTGGATTATTAGTGTTCCCTTTGGGGGCCTACTTAGTTTGATTTGGGTGGGGTAAACTAGGGCTGCCAAATCGTTGGATGGCAGGACGCTATTAGTTTATTGAGTCAGAAATCCTGCAGCAAGACCGGGTTGGTAGTAAGTCTGCTAGTGGTTCTGAACAGTTTGCGTATTTCGTATGCCGGTGAGCTTGGTTCAGTTATTTGAGGGTGCACGACGTAGGTGCAGGTGAACTCGCTGCGCAGAGTGCCTAAAGGTTCCTCGTGGTCAAAGGAATTGACTGAGACCTGTCTCGTCAGAAGACTCCTTGGACAAGTTTAACGGCAAAAGCCATTTCCCGCGTTTTTGGGGTGGTGATGAAACATTTCTGTGTTGAGGCTGGCACATACTTGACGGTATCAGTCAGCACAGAGAGAACATTCAATCCCCTAATTGAGTTCTCGCAGCGGAAAGTTCGATATCATAAGCCAGTTGCTCGGTGGCTGTTGACTAAGCACAGATGAACGTTTCAACTTGATGAAGCCAGCATTTTTAACATCCGATCCTCCGTTGGTAGTTTTCTTTAGAGCACTACGTTTATGGTAAGCATTTGTTGAATTTTTGGCTTCTGCACAGAGCTAAAAGTTGCCAACCTGTAGGAAATCCTCCAGTTTCACGAATTTTATCTCATTGAAGGAGCCAAGAAACGCGCGCTCTGTCCCGTTTATTAGAATGGGTCACTGTTTAGCAGACAAGAATATCATCATCATCATCAACGACAGCATGACATCAGTGCTCAACACCAATGCTTCACTGCCGTACAGCCATGACTTATTTGAAAGCCTTATTGTAAAGAAAAGAATAAAGGTGGATGGGGGAGGGACTTAGTGCTAGCTTAACACAATCATTCCGAGGTGCCTACACCTCCAGAAATTCACTCAGGCAATCTGGACAGAAACTGACAACAAGAACGCCACTGACATCGGGTGCCAGCCATATCTTGTAGTGTCTCCAACCAGGCACAGTGAGGATCACACGGTCCCCATCCTGGAAGGCGAGTAGAACCGACAGCACCCAAGCGTTTCGTGATCTCCTTCATACTCCTCTGCCAGGTCATGGGTTGGCCACCTCTCTGTTTACGCCACTCCGAATTGGGCATGGAAAACAGTACTCTCTTCGGCAAACGATGGTTCGGCATGCGTAAAACATGTCCCAACCAACGCAGCTTCTGGTGCTGGACACATTCTTCAATGGAAGTACCCGTTACACAACCGAAAACACGCTTTCTAACTGCCTCGTTACGGATTCGCTGACACCAACCCACACGAGCTATGGTTCTGAGACAACGATTGTCGAACACCTGAAGACGTCTCAGGTCCGCTGCTCGAATAGGCCAAGTCTCACAGCCATACAACAAAACAGCCCGTACTGTAGCTTGATACACACGTCCCTTCAGATTCAGGGATAAACCATTCTGACGCCATAGGTGTCTCAAGTTAGCAAACGCGGCCCGAGCCTTGCAGATTCGTGCATTCACCTCATCTGTCACACTGCAATCAGAACTAATACAACTTCCAAGAATATGCCAGGTGCCATGTTTGACACCAAACGTAGCACCTCATCTAATTTGTTTCCAGTATACCAGAATTCAACTTCTATTACTCCGGCAGTTGCTCTGCTGATTAGCACGCGAAATCTCACCTGCTGACAGACAGCGTCAGTACATGAATCTTTTAGCGCATGGATCCATGCATAGCGTCATATCGATATGACGCTATGCCAAGTACCTACACATTTCCAACCCGGACAACCACCAAAGTTGGTGCGGATAAAATTAATCAACTTCCTAAGAAAGGAATGATAGTCTTCCACTGATTGAGTATTACGTAAAACTGGAAGTGAAATCATCATCAACTTACGACTTGTAGCCTCGAGGCAAATTATGGTGATTTTCGGCTTCCTCTCCCGTGTTCCATAAATCTCGCACAGAGTCAGAATTACGAAGAGCAGTCCAAGCAGGCTGCATATGAGTCCAATGATTGAAAGTATTTGACAAGCATACAGCCATGCTGCAAACAACTAAATTATTCCCTACCCGATGCACTGCACTTACGTGGATTTAACCAAAAACGAATGTACTTATATTCCGGATAGTAGATGTACCAACAGCCTTCGTAGGCCTTGGAAACGTAATCTTCCGGAAATATAAAATTGTGGAAGCACACTTCCCATAGGCCGAGCCTTTGAAAGCCCTGATTGTTACCATATTTTGCGACTATCCAGTAAGGCGACACGAAGCTTATTATATTAAGAATCGAAGACAAGAAGGCGCAAGTCACAGCAATGACAAATGACGCCCGAACACCGTGCTTCCTTTGTGTAGGCAACATTTCCACGGTTGGCTTTTGAACTGGTACTATTTAGACCACATGTATCGATACAATAAACAAACAAAAACGAATCAAAACCAGGATCGGTAGGTGTAGCACCTGATAGTAGTTGCCAACAGCTGAAGCGGAATTTTTTCCTAGGCTACTGGAAACAAATTCAAAAAAATGTGTAAATTCAACACGGGTGGTCAATGAACACGGAGGCTTTAGTTGGCGCTAAGTATTCGCACAATGAAGCTGAATATTCGAAAGCTGTCACGTGTCTCTGATGCACCAAACCAATCAGAAAATTGAGCCCGGAGTAACAGTTTAAGCTTTTGAGCCCCATTTAGGCATCACGGAGCCTCAGCGATGCTGGGAAATTATTCCACCAGACTTCCGCCAGAGGCACTGGATAATGAAATTTGGTGAGTTGTAAAAATATGAAAGTAAATTAAAATGGTTTTTGGTTTAAAGACATATGTGACAAAATGCAACATTCTCACTCCATTCGTAAAGATTTTGTAGCTTAGAGCATTGTGCAGCTAACGGACCCGCTTTAGTCCATATTTCGTCCTTCCTCTCTTTTTGGCGCTCGGAATTCCGATAATGGAATTGAATTTTCGAAACCTACGACATGTCCCGGGTGAGCTGAAATAGACAGGCAAGTGAGTTCGGAGAGCCACTGTAGACTTTTGAGCCCCATCTAAGTATCACGGGGTCCCAGCGATGCTAGGAAGTATTCCATTAAGTTTTTCCCCCAGAGCACAATATAATTTGATGAGTTGCACAAACACGATCTTAAATCAAGACGGCTTCTAACACCACTACATGCACAACAAAATGAAACATTTTTGCCCAAAACGTTCTATTCCATTCACAAATGTTTTGCAGCTAGGGGCGCCCAAAGAGCCCCATCTTTTATCACAATCTTTCTATCTTACGCGTACACACGCCCCTTCTCCTGGTTTTTTCCTATCTACTATTTTTTCCTTATGCATTTCAGTGACTTTCCGGGCTTCCGATTCGGAAAACAAACATTACAATTCTAGTAGCTCTCGAATGACTGTGCTAGGTGGGACGCGTTGCATGAAAAGACACGTAACGTGCATTAACTCCTACTGGGAGTGCCCTGCTAGGTCACCACATGTACTTTAAATGATCCGAGTTCGTAGATGGCCGTACAAATGAATGGATTCGTTCGTTAGAAGTCGAGTGTGGATGGTGCTAACCAAACATAGCCGGTTGGAGCTCGGGAATGCCATCATAGGAAAACCACAGCGAGGTGTACCTCAAGCCAGACCGTTTAAAAATTACGGAGGCTGGCCACTACGCCTGAAGTGTCTGCCATTAGCGGACGACGTGAGGCCATCCATGGAGGCATGTCGCACTGAAGTCGGGCTCAAATTTTAAGGCCACCTCAAAAGGCCGGTCGTGTGGTGTTGCGAGGCAAGAAGGCATCGGAAATCTAGTTTGCTGATGGTGGGCCATTTTCGCAGGACTGAAAACTGCTCTGACTGAGGTGAGCGCATCCCAATTTTGAGGACGGTGCTTAACGTAGAGTACCTCATTCGGCGCATTCATACACGTCCATTGGTTTGTAGGTATTGTGGACGCTAAGAAGGTAATATTCCAGCCTGTTCAGCATAAAAAACCGGATGTCTTTCTTACCAGCAGTGAAGTGAAGTGCGGACATCTCCCCCACTATTCACGTGCCGTTTACGAGGAGCTCCTGATTGTGCGGGTGCAGATTGTGGACCGGAATGCAAGAGCATCCCACGGGTGATGGCGTCAAGTATTTGAAGCCTGAGGATGGACGCCACAAAAATAGCTAGTCGATTTTGCTAGAGATCGTTAAATAACCCATATATTTTGGACCAATTCATTTTTTGCCTGTTGTAAACACCTCACGGAAACCAAGTGACAATAATAGAGCTAAAGTTCAGTGAAAGATGATCCCACACCTGCATACGGATTCTTCAATTGAGCAGTGAAAGCCAAACACCAACTTCTACCGCACTTATTTGAGTTTATGACAGCAATTAAATTCAAATGTCTGCCATATCAGCATCTCGTTGGACTGATGGGGCAGTGCCCGGAGAGAGTCCTTGTCACATGCAACACCCGAAAGGGATGATCAGTGGGGCTAAATTTTAATCACCTAGCAATCAACTCTAGAATCAGATGGTACCATGTCGACCACCTCACGGGGTGCTAGATAGTAGCGTTCTTTCGACAACCCACTCAAACACACCATGGTTCGTCGTGTGGAACCACTGTCCGAATTGTGGCTTAAGTAGCGTAAGATTTACTAATATGTGCAGAGTTTCGTACTCTCACGTAATAACCTCAATCCGCCATCATCGGGTATCACCGATGGTCCTCCCACTGTTGACAATTAACAATTGTGGCAGATTAGGCGGCCGAGTGTTGATCACCGGACGTGAAAACCTTTTGGGAGCACGGGCGACTAGCTGAGGGGAAAAGTTTGCTCTTACGATGGCTCGTATTGTTCACTTTTGGAGGTTTAAGGTGATCCAGGGTGGCTTAAGATCAAGTCTGTGGGACTTCTAACGCGCCAAGAGGCCTCATGGTCCTTCTCTACCTTACCTTATCTAGCATGGGTTTAGGGACCGTGTCCATCCCGGGTATTTATGTTGCAACGCAAAGCCATCGGTCGCGGTATTTGCGCTCAACAAAAATGAGCAGCTTGCCATCTGTGAGATGACGACTAAGCCTGAACCTATTGGTTGAAATGATGACGCACAAAGCGCATATAAACCGGTGGAAACGTTTCTGATTTCTTGAGTTTATTACTCGACTGAGGTTAATAGAGGAGTTCCCCAGCTTCACGCTTCGAAGAGACGCCAACACCTATTTTGGCGCGCCAGTTAGAGGGTTACCCATGGTATTACCGCCTTCGATCATAACGCAGCATAGTGGCTTTGAAGCTGAGCACTAGACCACTAAAATGCTCTGCAAACCACAATAGATCCGAAGTGTCCTTAAGACCGTGCTTCTTACCTCTGCTTTTTGTGGAGAAATGACGAGCAACCACTGGGACCAGCTCCAGTGGAAGAATTATATAGCACCATTGTCCAGAAAGTTCACGAGGCTGACGCAACGTTCGTCCCAAACAAACCAGCACGCACTCGGATGAACCGCAGGCTGCC